ATAAATGATCTTCACAAACGTTTGCATTCCATGAAGTACTAACGTCACGTAGTCTAACGTGGGAGAGTCCAAACACATGTGCAAATAATAGTTACACGCAATATGAAGTGTTACGGTACTGTACAGTGAAACAATTTTCTCCGCATTTCTCCTTTCCCCGGGAGCCTCAAGGCAAACTTCTCCCCGGGACCTAATTCGCTCGGGACCCAGTTCGCTCTCTGGAGACAGTCTTCCCGGTAATTTGCACCCATCTAATTAACAATGGCTGCCAAATCAAGCCCAAAATCGTCGCTGTTGCTATTGTTTTTTCTCCCGAGCAAGCCATTTTACCCAATTACACTACGAATATAAATCCGAAATCCCTAATTTCTCCCTCTTCCTAAACCTTTTCTTTACTCCTGCGCCGAATCTCTTAACGACCCGATTTTTATGGGTTTCCAGTGCGGCGTCATCGTCACACCTACGGGGCCATTTCCGATCCCGCTGTGATCATAAACTAGCTAGTTACGTCATCATCTGCGGAGGGAAGGAAAGAGAGCGTGTGGAAGCCTAAAATTGGGGATTAAAGCCTGAAGTGTCTGTATTATTCATAGTTTATCTGAACATATGTGTATACTGTACAGTAAAGCCTCTGCCCTATATAGCGTCGGTGATATATCAGACAAGCGCTCGCAAATCATACATACAAATCAAATGGCCATTTGATATCATGTAGTCATCCGCGTGCCACACTAAGATTTATTTTTTATTTGCTTCCTATGAAAAGATTAAAAAATTCGCCACACACACACGCAGACAGACAGCCAGACACACACACACACGCGCGCGCGAGCGCCTATACACATATATGTGTGTGTGTGTGTGGTGTGTGTGTGTGTGTGTGTGTGTGTGTGTGTGTGTGTGTGTGTGTGTGTGTGTGTGTGTGTGTGTGTGTGTGTGTGTGTGTGTGTGTGTGTGTGTGTGTGTGTGTGTGTGTGTGTGTTGTGTGTGTGTGTGTGTGTTTTTGTGTAAGCTTTATGCCTGTTATGACTACCAAGTTATTAACAAGCAACCGAGGGGAATCTAATCGGAAATAGCCATCTCCACAGGTCCTCTTTCGGGGGAAGCGACGTGTTTGGCACCCGTCCCAGCCGCGCCCTGTGCCACGGGGCGGGGAGCCGCGCCCTCGCACCTACGACGAAAAAAGGGTATAAACAAAACAGGCACAGAGACGGAAAAGCGCCCTCCGCCCTCATCAATATACATAGAGGGACTCCACGTACTGCACGTTTGGTTCCCACCCACGGCGAGCACCATAGAACGATGTACACACTCGTAACGATGTACGCACGATGTACAATGTACTTGAGCCGCTGGCGAAGACCGCAAGACATCTCTGGGAACGCCACTCAGCCCGCGAGGCCTAAATACTCGCGTTTGCGAAACTGCGGTCCTTGCTGGCCACATTACGCATGGCTTGCATGACATTTAGTGCACAAGCGTGTGCTTCTTCACCATTACACTAGCTGGCTGTAAAAGAGAATTAACGATGTCCCGTTTGTTTTCTTAAGTGTTGGTCTACCTGATCTAAATGTCTGTTAGTATATGGCCTGCTTGGTAGCCTACCTGTCTGTTTACCTCCCTGCCTGTTTGCTCGTTTAGGCTATATCGGTAACTGCCTGCCTCGAGGTCTAACAGACCTGGTTAGCCCTTGGCCTGTCTACCTACATATCGGTCATTCTGAGAATCTGCCAGCCTGCTGCCAGCCTCTGCCTGCCAGCCTGCCTACCTGCCAGCCTGCCTGCCTGTCCTGTCTGCCAGTCCTGCCTATCTGGTCTCCACACTTTTTTTTAAATTGCCTTCCTTCTTGCCGGCTTGCATGAATGCCCGCCGGCATTCTGTCGGCTTGGAGCCGCGCTATCTCGACTTCGGTCTGAATTCACTCTTCTGAGTTCGGGAGAAGAGCGCCTATTGCGAAATGCCCATAGCAGCAGCATCTGCTCAGCCCACGCCACAACCCTCCCGTCATACGATCCAACCACATCACCATTCCCTCTTCGGTTGCTGCAATCCCTCGCGACTTCACCGCATCCATTAAAATTCCGCTGCCACCAGAAATCTTGCCCTCCGTCAGCATCGGCACGAACACCACCACTGCTGACACTGCCGACATCGAGCACCCTAATACAAACAACACATACGTCTCTGCAGATGCGGCAGACCGACGCGACGCAGCGCTTCCTCCAAGACGTCAACCCGAGGAATATAAAGCACCAAAATTTATGGATCACAAAGTTCCTCCTTGGGGTTTAAATTGCACATCAAACGAGAGAACATACTTGACGTGGCCCGGGATGAGGGGGAGGGGATGAAGGGGGTGAGGGGGGCAGGACACCACGCTACCATATAATTAACAAAAGCGCTCTCGTATGCTAAGCAAGTCACGTGAGGAGGAAGAGTAGAGATCTCAATAGCTTGCGCCATAAGGGCTATGCTCTTATGGAACTCAAAGGGGAAGTGGCCCTTCACTGACCTGTGCCAGAGTTGGAACCGCGCGCGTGTAAACAATATCGCCATGTGATCGGTTTACTGCCCTCGAGCTACCAATGGCAACATGAGAGCCTTGATAAGTCAATCGTTAGAATCGCCGCCCAATGGCAATGGCGGAATGCAAATGAAAAAAATGTAGCACAGTGGGGTGGGAGTGGGAGTGAGAATGGGAATGGGATTAGAAGTAGGAGTGGATGTGGAAATGAGAGTAGATGTGGGAGTGGGAGTTGGAATGGCAGTAGTGAGTATGGGAGCATGGAAGTATGGGCCGGGGTGGAATAGAAACAGTAGATTGGGACTGGCAGAATGCGTGACCGCGTGTCCCATCATGAAACCAGATGTACCCGAGTACGCAGCCACGCACAAGCACAAATGTTGACAAGGAAGACTACTCAGTGGGAAGACGAGCAAGCATTGTTCTCAACGCAGCATCCGAACCTTGAACCCACGGGCGCCCGCACTTTCCCACACCTCGCTAAATCCCGTGCAGAGCGGCAGCCGGCCCTTGAACCAGCTGGTGCTCGCAGTTTCCCAGCTTGACTTACGCCCCTTCGCGCCACCCGAGCGAACCCTCGCCCTCGCTGCCGCAACCTTTAAATGCGCTTTAACGAGACGCCAAAGACACGAAAACACAAAGCGCCGCCTGAGGTTCGCGGCTCCGGTGCCAAAGGGCGTCTCTTCGGCAACCAATCGCGCCCTTGCGGTTCGGGTGTCCTGGTCTCCGAAGACGAAGGCTCTCCGTCTTCCTCCTACAAGACCTTCCGCTCCAGGAGACCCCACCCCCCTAAAAAAATAAAAAAAGCTAACCTCGATCTCGCCGGCCTGTAATTTCGCGTGTGACTGCATGCCAGGCTGGATGAGTCAAGCGTACGTGCCACACTTGTCATCGCTAATACTATGGATTCATCTCAATTTCGCCACACACTTTCGCCACGGTTCGCAGAAGGAGCATCTGACATCTTGATGAGCCCCTCGGAGATGGCATAACTGTGCTCCTTTCCGGAACCTTGACACACATAGTAATCATAACGCACAACAAGTTCATGTACACTTTTACTACTGAGTACATGCATACACACGCAGTCGTGCATTCGTATGAAACCAGGCGCGTACTTCAACCCACGCACCTACAAAAACCCATAAACTTTCACTTACTCACCCGAGCACTCACTCACTATTAGTTTCAACTCATACAATCATAAAGACGACCCTATTTACTCACCATTTTTCCCCTTGTAGAGTAGATTCCTCGCTCTTTGTACTGAAAAGAAAAAAAAAATACGATTAATATTCGTGTTGCGAAAGGAGCAAGACCTCTCGCGCAGCCTCTCACACAGGCGGCGCCCCAAGCCCGGCGCTGGAGCAGACAGCCCCGGCGAGGGATGGCGGCCACACGGCGACCAATAATAATCACAACGAAAAATTAAGGATGCTCGTAAAAGCACAAGTATCCCGACCTAACAGACAAGGAGACGGAGAACCTAACTGGACGGATGAAACATAAAACAAGCACCTGAAGCATCTTGGGCTTAGCCAAGCGTGTAGGGGGCCGTTTACTACGTCTCCTGACCACCTGTTGCGTTCATCATTAAAACTGAACACTTTGGCACCTGTTACATATCCAGGTGCCCGTCGCTATATCTCCCTCGCATGTTTTCCCTGCACTCCCTGCCTGTGTGACCCTCTCTCAAAGCCCAGCTCTCTATCCTCCCACTGCTCCTGTTGCTCTTCCCCTCCACTTTCTCCTCCGTCCCCTCCTCCCTCCCACGCCCCTTTCTACCCTTGTTAACCCTTCTCTAACCCTACTTCTCCCTCGTAAAGTTTAATTACTATCTTTATTAAAATCAGGACATGCGGAGTGTACTTTATCTTACTACGCCATTAGCACACCCCTTCCCTCCTCCCCTCTCTGCCCCCTCGACGCGCGGTACACCTGTGGCGGATTCGTAGCGCAATCGGAATTTCTCTGCACTTTTTTTTGTTGTTTCCTCCCGGATGTTGTTCGCGTGTTGGATCGCGCCATTTTTACACATCCGCCACACGAAACGACGCATGGTAATTAACCGCTAACACTGTATACACATACCCCCCCCCCCCCCCGGCCATGCAGACGACAAAGACCGCCCTATTGACCTCGACATGCTATTGTCACACTCCCGCCATAGTTAGCCTCGTGACGTCACAGTGTGTAAGCGACCTTCCCGGACCGATCAGATTTTCCCATACCTGATTCGTCACGCCCATGTCGTCCCACACTCTCCCACGCCGACGATTGGTGACCAACTTGTTTGTAATCAATTAGGGCCGACGATAGATAGTTTCGGGGGAGGGAGGGGAGGGGGAGGGAGAGGGCGAGGGCTCGGCGCACAGGAACGGCACGAGACGCTGCATAATCACTTCCCGCTTTGCGCTTCCTGTAAAATTCATGCTGCACAGCCCTTGCTTCATCTTCATCTTCAAGCGTGCGTGTA